GCATTGGTTAAATGATTTTATCTACTGTGTTCTATGATTGTTGATTTTAATGTTTTTTTTAATGCTTTAATGTTTTTATGTGTAAGCCGCCCAGAGTCATTGGATAAGAGATGGGTGGCAAATAAATTTCCTAAATAAATAAATAAATAAATAAATAAATAAATAAATAAATAAATAAATAAATAAATAAATAAATAAATAAATAAATAAATAAATAAATAAATAAATAAATAAATAAATAAATATAAAATAATAAAATAAAATAAAATAAAATAAAATAAAATAAATAAAATAATAAAATAATAAAATAAAATAAAATAAAATAAAATAAAATAAAATAAATAAAATAAAATAAAATAAAATAAAATAATAAAATAAATAAAATAAAATAAAATAAAATAAAATATTCAAAAGTTAATTATGTAAGCTAATATTTTCTCTTTAGATCCCCTACAGAGAGCGTCCTGTTAAGTACAGGTAATCCTCGACTTATGACCACAATTGAGCCCAAAATTTATGTTGTTAAGTGACTTTTGCCCCATTTTACAATCTTTCCTGCCACAGTTGCTAAGTGAATCACTGCAGTTGATAAGTTAATAATAACGTGGTTGTTAAGTGAGCCTGGCTTCCCCTTTGCCTTTGCTTGTCAAAAGGTCGCAACAGGTGATCACATGACCTTGGGACACAGCAATGGTCATAAGTATGAATCAGTGGCCAAGCATCTGAATTTTGATCACATGATCCTGGGGCTGCTACAAAAGTCGTAAGTGTGAAAAATGGACATGTCACTTTTTTTCAGTGCCGTTGTAACTTTGAATGGACACTAAAAGAACTGTTGTAAGTCGAGGACTACCTGTAATGGTTTGTCAAAGTAGTCAGTATCAAGCCAGGTCCAGAAATACACCAAGTGAAACTAAGGAAACCAAAATTTTGTATACTCCTATGTATTCAACCATGCAATAAGAGGTATTATTGGTTTTTCTTCCTTTAGGTAGCCAATTTTTTTTGGTGTTGCAGTTGAGCATTCCTAAAGGATTATGAAGAAAAAGCAAGGCAATGAAAAGAACAGGAAACATGTACAGTAGTATTTTTCAGAAGAAATGAAATCGCTGACCCTCCCCTGTTGCTAAATAATGCCTTAAGTCTATCTTGTGTCTCTCCCCCCCTTGTTTAAATTATTCATTATTTATAGAGAAAGGAAATTGTGAAGGAGTTTAAAAGTTACTGCTTTTTAACTGCCAAGCCTCATACTGTGAACAATTCCACTTTAATTAGGTTGTGGTGTTTTTTTTACAGCAATGCCCAAGAATGAATGCTTCAATAAAGGTCATTCAGGACTAGTATCTTCAGAGCTGTTGATGCATTGTAATTATATTGGAGCTCTCAAGCAGCATTATTTTAATGGTACAACATAGGGATGCAAATTTGCTCTTGATCCCTAATTTTTAGCTATCTTTTTTTAAATGTACAAGAACCATAGAAAGCAGCTACAGAAAATTGTAAAGATCTGATAAGTAGGGGGTTTCTGTTAAAAGACTTAATAAATGCTTGGTAGTGTAACTCTATCATTAGAATGGCTGTTAAATTACCCTGAAATGTTTACTAAATTGGAGAGCTTCACCGTAGAAATCAGTACAATTATTGTACTGAGAATAGAAACAGGATATTGATGGGCTAATTTTTGTAGTAGTAGTAGTACTAGTAGTAATAATAATAAAGTTGAAAGGGACCTTGGAGGTCATCTAGTCCAACCCCCTGTTCAGATAGGAAATCCTATACCATTTCAGACAAATGGCTGTCCAGTCTCTTCTTAAAAATTTCCAGTGTTGGAACGTTCACAGCTTCTGGAGGGAGGTTGTTCTACTGATTAATTGTTCTGTCAGGAAATTTCTCCTTAGTTTTAGGTTGCTTCTCTCCTTGATTAGCTTCCATCCATTGCTTCTTGTCCTGCCTTCAGGCGCCTTGGAAAATAGCTTGACTCCCTCTTCTTTGTGGCAGCCCCTGAGATATTGGAATACTGCTATCATGTCCCCCCTCGTCCTTATCTTCATTAAACTAGACATACCCAATTCCAGCAGCCCTTCCTTATATGCTTTAGCCTCCAGTCCCCTAATCATCTTTGTTGCTCTTCTCTGTACTCTTTCTAGAGTCTCGACATCTTTTTTACATCGTGGTGACCAAAACTGGATGCAGTATTCCAAGTGTGGCCTTACCAAGGCATTGTAAAGTGCTATTTACACTTCACGTGATCTTGATTCTATCCCTCTGTTAATGCAGCCTAGCACTGTGTTGGCTTTTTTGGCAGCTGCAGTACACTGCTGGCTCATATTTAAGTGATTGTCAACTAAGACTCTTGAAATCCCTCTCACAGTTACTACTATTGAGCAAGGTACCATCTATACTATACCTGTGCATTTGGTTTTTCTTGCCTAAATGTAGAAACTTACTTTTTTCACCATTGAATTTCATTTTGTTAGATAGTGCCCAATGTTCAGCTCTGTCAAGATCCTCCTGTATCTTAAGCCTGTCTTCTGGAGTGTTGGCTATTCCTGCCAGTTTGGTGTCGTCTGCAAATTTGATGAGTTCCCCATCTATCCCCTCATCCTATCATTGATGAAGATGTTGAAGAGCACTTGGCCCAGGACAGAGCCCTGGGGCACCCCACTACACACTTCCCTCCATGTAGATGTAGTTCCATTGAGGATCACATGCTGAGTATGACCAGTCAGCCAGCTACAAATCTATCTAGTGGTGATGCTGTCTAACCTTCATTTTTCTATCTTATCAAGCAGTAGGTTGTGGTCTACTTTATCAAATGCCTTACTGAAGTCCAAGTAAATTATATCCACAGCATTCTTCTGGTCCACTAATTTTGTCACCTGGTCAAAGAATGCAATAAGATTTGTCTGGCATGATCTGTTTTTGACAAACCTATGTTGGCTTTTGGTAATGGCTTTGTTTGCCTTTAGATGTTCACTGATTTGTTGCTGTGCAACAATATAGTATGTAATAACGTTTTTCAAAGAAATATATAATATTTTGTATTGTCATGATGATTATTTTTTCTTTGATTCACTTTTAGCTCTTCTTCAACGAGTAGCTGAACTAGAGAAAGTCAATGCTGAATTTCTACGTACAAAACAGCATCTCGAGCAAGAATTTAATCAAAAGAGAGCCAAGTTTAAAGAACTGTATCTAGCTAAAGAAGGTAATGTTTAATTATTCTAAGTAGATGTAAAAATGCTAACTCTTAACTAAGATGGCTAGGAGAGAATTATTATTTTTTGAGGAAATGTACTGTTTGAGAAAATTTATGTGAGGATCTTTCCCACACAGGAAAGCATTATTCTCTGTCTCATAAGACATAAAGACCCTTCACAAATCTTAGGCTTCAAAATGAGTTGAAAAAGCATAGCACATAATTTAGAATGGAATACAGTTAGTCCTTGACTAATTACCAGTTTTTCAGTGACTGTTTGAAGTTAACAACAGCCCTGAACAAATGGTGGTTATGACCAGACCTCAAAGTTCTGGCTGTTCCAACACCCTCTGTGGTTATGTGTTTGCACTCTGGGCCCTTAGCACTCTGCATTTATGACCAGTTGCAGCTTCTTCTTTCTGTATAACCTTAATGAACACAAATCTGATTTGAAATAGTGGGTATCATCTTGAAGAATTTGCAGCGAGCCTGTACTCCCATCCTATTTTGTTTGAGCAGAAGCTTCTTGACTAATAAGGAATGTCTTTATTGGTTTTGTGTTAACTGAATTATCACAGCCCTTGAGAAGAAACAAAGAATGTCCTTGCATGTCATGAGAAAATTTTTAAAAGGTATTAGACCAGCTTAGATTTGACAGATATTGGCATTAAACAAACTCATGAAATTAGTGGAGAAAGAATTGGAAGCTCTGGGCCATAGCATTAAATAGGTCTTTACCAGGCCTGGGAGACAGATTAATAACTTGGATTCATAATGTGAATTCATAAACAAATCTGAGCAGTCATAATGATAACTATTCTGATGTTTGGTATGTTCAGGATTCTCCAAATTATAGTATAATATGTAGGAAATAAAATAAATACTTATGCCATTAGCTTTTGGGATTGAAGGAACTTTTGGGTAATGAAGGAAGGAAATAGAGAACATTTCTAAAAATTCACAGAAGCCACTTTTCAATTTTGAAATGGCACCTCTTCCTAAATGTGCAAGAAAGCCCCTTTGTTGCTTTTCTGAAGGAGCTGCATTGCATGTCCCGCCCACACTGGTGTTTTTCAGATCTTTTCCCCAAAGGTGCTTTTTCAAAAGGCAACTGGACTTTCTTATTATTATTTTTTGCTTGAAAATGCTTTGCTTCTCATCCAAGAAGCTTCTTCAGTTCTGACTGAATGGTGGGGAATAGAAAGATTTCTATTCTTTTCAGTCATCTGGTTGTTAGCACTCTGATGGTCGATTCTATTCAAAGAATAGAAATCTTTCTATTCCCCTCCCATTCAGTCAGAACTGAAGAAGCTTCTTGGATGAGAAGCAAAATATTTTCAAGAAAAAAAAACCCAAGAAAGTCCAGTTACCTTTTGAAAAACACTTTTGGGACAACTATGACCTGGATGATTGAGAAGCTCCGTAGACATTCAGATATTTTTGTTTTTCTGTCCCCTTAGCTTCAGAAAAAATATTCCTCTATATTTCCCCCTACTTTCTGTTTCGTGTCTTCCTTGCTTCTCCTGGCAAAGAATAATGGAGGTCACAGGACTTTATAGAAGAAAGTGAAAAGTGGCACTTGAGTGGTGGCACATTTTTAAAACTTCCATAACAGGGTATTTAGTTACATTGACAGTTTCTCTGATTTCTAAAATAATCCAGAATATGAGGAAGACCTCAGCAGGCCTCATCCATTAGTTAAAGTAGGCAGATTGTGTTGGTTCTTATTAATCCATTGGCACATGAGCTGTGTAACTGTCCAAAGTTTCTCCAAAGTCTGTTCTTTATCCTTATTTGGAGCTGTTGCAGGAAGCAATCTGGATACTAGAAGACAAATAGTTGATCAAATTGGGTTATCTATCAGAGGTTCTGAATAATATCATCTGGATGAACTTTCAAGAACAGAATATACAAAACAAGATAAAAGGCTTTCAAAATTTTATGTCATAAAGCACAAAAAGATAGCATTTTTCTGATATTAAGGAGGCCGCAAGGTTTTTTTAAAATTGTTTTTAATTGTGAACAGTGTTCAGCTGAGTGTGTAGAAGTCTATAATTATAGCTTGGTATGTGGTTAAGGTAGGTTATTTCTAGGACAATCCAATCTGAAAAGGTAGGGCACCTTCTCCCTGCAAAAAGCACACTTGCGTCAGCTGAAGAAGAGGCGTGGTCTCAAGATTAAAAAATATCCTCCATAACATCCTAAGATGACATATTCATGTTGAGTATAAGGTCTGCTTTCTGACACTAGGAAGTATGATTCCATAATAAAAAGCAGTTTTAAAACAACAGTATAGATTTCAGTATTCCAAGCTTATCATAGAGTTGGAAGGGGAACTGAGAATGAGACATAAAGTTAGAATAGTAAACTGGGTGTAGAATTTATATAGATTTGCTTACAGCTAATTGAATATTAGCAGTAAGTGGAAGTTTCTCCCCTTGTATCGAGAAATCTCTAAAATAAATAAATATTTATATAATTATTCCCTATTGTTTTTAAAGTGGATCTGAAGAGGCAAAATGCAGAATTGCAGGCAGCACATGATGATCTGGAGAAATTACAAAAGCAGCTCATGGAAGCACAAGCTGAAATGGAGAACATCAAAGCCATTGCTACAGTGTCTGAAAATACTAAACAGGAAGCTATTGATGATGTAAAGAAACAATGGCAGGAAGATGTTGCCTCTCTGCAGGCTATAATGAAAGGTAGGACTAACAAAAATGGATCGATTGTTAGGCCAGTTTCATACTTACTAATATCTCCGATACATAGCTTGCTATTCCAAACCTTAGTCTATACAGAGAAACTGCCTACTTCAGATAGCTCTTGTGGAAAGGAAACTGCACTAAATTGACACAGAAGAATTTGATATATGAGGTCATTGTTTGGCATCATCTGTGGTTTCTTTAATTTTGTGGATTCACGTTTTTGTTATAATTTAAAAATACCCACCCTTGCTTGTGTTAAAAGTTGGTTCAGACAGACTTCCAAAAATAAATCAGCTCGTCATAAAAATTATGACTGCTGGTAATAGAATTTTTCTATTTTTTAAAAAAGGATATATACTTAAAAAGTGAATAAATTTAATTAAAGAATAAAATAGAGCTGGAAAGGATCTTGGGGGTCTTCTAGTCCAGCCCCCTGCTCAAGCAGGAGAACCTATAGCATTTCAGACAAGTGACTGTCTTGTCTCTTCTTAAAGATATCCAGTGCCCAGGATTTCTGAAGGCAAGCTGTTTCACTGGTTAATTGTCCTCACTGTCAGGAAGTTTCTCCTTAATTCCAGTTTGCTTCTCTCTTTGGTCAGTTTCCAACCATTGTTTCTTGACCTGCCCTCCAACCTGAAGCAGATGTATATGAAAAGCAACCACATTAATAAGAACTGGCTAGAACAGTTCTTACTGACAACTTAATGTTTACAGAAGAATGTATGTATGTGTAGTGCCAATTAGTTATGACTCTTGTACTCTGCACAGATTTTCTATTTCAGTTTCAGACGTGCAATTTTAAATAAATTTTTAAAAAACAAAAAAATGTTGATAACTGCATGAGGTATTATGGTATTTTTGTAACCATTTTGCATTTACCATTAATATCTGGAACATTCTTCAGCGTAGAAAAGTTTACAGAGTCATTTCTATCACTGCCATTAGAACACACAGTATGGTTTGAATCTTTTAAGTGTAACTACAGCATCTACATTTTCTATATTTACCTGGAAAATATACTCCAAACTTGATGCTTAATCATAAGCTGTACAAATTTAGTGAAGGTGCCATTTCCTGTTCTAGAAGATTTTATTCTAGTAAACTATCAGACCAACCTCTGACTTGTTGGATTGGCGCATTTTATGTGTATGCCAAATAATATGTTTTAAGAGACTCACTCTGAGTGGTTTTGTAATAAGATTGTCAGCAAAGATGATTTGTTGTAATTGTTATTCAGAAACTGTCCGTGAATATGAAGGCCAGTTTCATCACAGGCTGGAACAAGAGCGATCTCAGTGGAATCAGTATCGAGAGAATGTCGAACGGGAAATAGCAGAGCTGAGAAGGCGACTTTCAGAAGGTCAAGAAGAGGAAAACTTGGAGAATGAAATGAAGAAGGTCAGTCAGGATAGAGCAGTTTCCCAACCTTGGCAACTGGGTGGGCTTCAACTCTCAGAATTCTCTAGCCAGCATTCGATAAAAAATGGAACCATATCCTTTAATTATGCTGCTTGATAGTAGAATAACAAATTGGGCTGGTCCAACCCTCACTGTTTCTAAACTTTTGAGCTCTGTATAAAACCCTTTTATTTAGTCTCACTTTTTGTGCATAAAAGCAAGAGTTGTTTTATTTGTTTTTTTGTTTGTTTAATTGTTTTGCTAATGTCTTAAAAGGCTGGTCTGAAAATACCACTGGGAGGCATTGAAATAAAAAGTTATGCCATGGAATAATTTTAAATTTTTATCACTGAAATTTGTCCCAAAACATTGAAATGTTTTAAAGCCCAGTTTTAATGTTCATTTCTTTGTTTAATTTCTTCCTTATTGGTACATAATTATTTGTAAAGATTTTAATAATACTTTAGTAATAGTGATACCTAAATATTTTAAAGATTTATATACTATTGGAATCCCTAAAAGTGTGGAAATTCCCTTTTGAGTTTTTTTGGGATTTACGAATAAACATCAAATGTGATTAATGAAAATTAGCTGATGGTCCTTATACCTCTACAAAGACCTCTTAATTTCTTCTTAATATAGCTAGCTAAATGAAAAGCATTTGAAAGAGTTAAGATCATCTCATCTGCAAATAGATTTAAAAGATGCGTCTTATCTCCCATTTTTATCCCTTTAATCTGATTATTGGATCTAATTGCTGTTGCCAGGATCCAATTGCTGTTGGTGATGAAAGACAATCCTGCTTGGTACCTCTTAAAGTCATGATGGGATCTGAATCATAGCTGTTAAGACATATCTGGGCATTAGTTGGTCCATACATATGTTTGATCAACTTATAGAAACCAGCCAAATTTAAACTAATGTTTATTTTAAAAATTGTACTTCCAGAGATGAAAGGTTTAAATACATCTAAAGAACATATGGTTAATGAAGATTGATTTATTATACCAATTGGTATAATATTTAATAGTTTCCTAATGGGATAGATATATTACACTTTGGAATAAAGCCAGATCAATCCATAAGAATAATTTCACACAATCACTTTTAATTAGTTGGCTAACAGTTCAGTGTACAGTTTATAATTCATATTGAGAAGTGAGATGGGCTTATAAAATGCCAAATCTTGGGGATTTTTATTTGATTCAACATTACCTTAGAGACTGTTTCTAAGATTCTGGTAAAGGTTCCCCTTAATGCAAAGTATTGCATAAAAATAGAAATTCAGGTACTAAAATCTCTTTAAATGATTTATAAAATTTCTCTGACAATCCATCAAGGCCATGAGACTTTCCATTTGGAATAGTATTCAAGACTTCATTGATTTCTGAAAGAGAAAAGGAAATTCCATAAATTGTATATCTTTGGGAGCCAATTCTGTGAATGTTAATTTATTTAAATATTATTGATTTTTATTGATGAAGGATTATTTGAGAAATATAATTGCTGAAAAGTTTGAATTGTTCACTTATACCTTTAATTTTGATCATTTTTAATTGCACTTACATATTTTTCTTCTTAGCTTTTTTCAGTTTATTTGCCAGTACAGTACTCATCTGGTTTATACATTCTCCTTTTAATACTGCCTTCGTAGCGTCCCCTCTTGTTCTTACTGATGTTTGATTTGTATGATTTTCTTGAAAAGGGTTTCTCGTTTCTTGTATTCTTGTTTTGTTGCTTCATTGTATAGTATTACCGGTATATTAAAATACCAATTGTAAGTAAGTGAAACTATCTCTTCTAATTTGAAGGTAGTAATCACTGGAACATGGTCTGATATAAGTAAATTTAACTTGTTGCAGAAAATTTGTAAAAGTTTTAGAACTTTGTTTTCTGCCAGAGTAGTGACATGGTGTTCTGGATTTAGGGATATTGTTTTCTCCTCTGTCATGGTCAGATCACTTCCTGTCTGGTGAGTCTTCACTTCTCTGGCATTACACTCCTTGCACCTATAGTGGCATCTGTGGCTAGGAAAGCCTTTGCATTGTCTTTCAGCAGAGTCACTTATAAAGATGGACAGACATAAAAACTGGATGGATGGATGGACAGATAGATAATTCTTAATTTGGTGAATAGATAAGCTTTATATATGTGTTAAATTTTTGTTCTTTTTTTGTCCTTGTTTTTGTCCTTTTTGTATCATTACACCCTTTGTTTCTATGCTACCCTAATTGCCTTATTTCTTTATAGTAAAGCAAATACATAAGCATTTAAAGATTTGGTGACATACATTCACAGGATTTGTAAACTTGTTTTTTATTTATTTATTTATTTATTTAATCCCATTTATACCCCGCCCTTCTCCCGAGGGACTCAGGGCGGCTTACAGGTAAATAAAAACAGTACAATACAATAGATATCTCTAAAAGCCGAATTAAAATATATATTAAATAACCTGTATTAAGTTTAATATTATAAAATCCCTTTAAAATCCCTATAAAATCCCCCCCTAGGCCAATCCCGCTTGATGGAAAAGCCATGTCTTGAGGGCACGGCGGAAGGAGGGGAGATCCTCCCCTTTGAAATCTGTATAAGCCATACTAGTATGTTTCTGCTAAAACATGTTTTGTTTATGGATGGGGCAAGATATTTTGTGTTTAGCTTGTTATTTAGACTAAAAATAATAGTATTGGTTGAGTCTTTTAGGAAGCAAGAAGCAATTTGCTGCAATACATCATCCACTTAGAAGGCAATAAAATATTGGGATTTTCTTCTTTATGCACATGTATATTGTACAGTTGTACAGTTTGGGCTTCTCTGCATAGTTATATTACTGACATGTCACACATATTTGTAAATAGTGGCTGAATCAGAAGACTATTGGTTATCTGAGTAGCACTCAGTCAAAAGTTAAAACAGCATAATACAGGGATGTCAAACTGGCGGTCTGCAGGCCGGATGCATCACGTGTAGGCCACGCCCACCCCAGCTCCACAAAGACAAAAAAGTCACAATATGTCACATGACGCAATCGAGTTTGACACCTGTGGTATAAAAGATGTATTAAAACTATAAAAATTAGACACAATTACAAAAACCTGTCACTCATCCCAGCGCTTGGGGGGAAAGCCAAGGCTTCAGAGTTTTCTGAAAGGCTAGGAGGGTAGAGGCCTGCTGAATTTCAGGGAGAAGAGTGTTCTATAGGGTATGGGCTGCCACAGAAAAAACATGAAGAGGAGCTAGCTTCCATAAGATATTAAGAGGAAGGGACTAAGAGTGTGGAGATATGTACTAGGGTATCATCATCATACTGATGATACTGGACCCCATGTTGACGGATGTCCTCCCCTACTATTTTTGTCCCCTAGTAGCTTGGGTGTATCCAGATAACTAATGTTAAAAATGAGCGGAGAAAAAAGGCTTGAGGGCACCCCATATTATTATTATTATTATTATTATTATTATTATTATTATTATTATTATTATTATTATTATTATTATTATTAATAATAATAGTAATAGTAATAGTAATAGTAATAGTAATAGTAATAGTAATAGTAATAAAGTTGGAAGGGACCTTGGAGGTCATCGAGTCCAACCCCCTGCTCAGGCAGGAACCCTACACCATTTCAGACAAATGGCTGTCCAGTCTCTTCTTAAAAACTTCCAGTGTTGGAGCATTCACCACTTCTGGAGGCAGGTTGTTCCACTGCTTAATTGTTCTAACTGTCAGGAAATTTCTCCTTAGTTCTAAGTTGCTTCTCTCCTTGATCAGTTTCCACCCATTGCTTCTCGTCCTGCCTTCAGGTGCCTTGGAGAATAGCTTGATTCCCTCTTCTTTGTGGCAGCCCCTGAGATATTGGAACACTGCTATCATGTCCCCCCTCGTCCTTCTCTTCATTAAATTAGACATACCCAATTCCAGCAACCGTTCTTTATATGTTTTAGCCTCCAAATGAAACTGGGCATGGAAGAAGGTGGGGAACTACCATAATATAGTGCCTCAAAGTTTAAAAAGTTAACATATAGAAAAAATTAAATATATTACTCTCAAAAGCCTGTTTGTCAATAGTAAAGATTTTATTTTAAAATATTGTAATTTCTTTGACTGTTGTGAGCTTCCCAGAGTCACTGAGAGTCAGATGGCATACAAATTTAATTATAATCAACAACAGCAACAATCCCCAGATGGTATCCACTGATATCCCCAATGTTTTAAAATTAAATTTGGATTAGAAATGGCCAAAAACATTCTGTTAAACATTCTGTTATCTTCTTAGGAATTTTTACAAGATATCAGTTGAAAATAGAAATTTCTAGTCTGATGGCCAGAGACATTTTGATTCACAATAGTCTTCACTGAACCCAGGTGGCTTTGAAATTGTCAACGTAGTAGTGTGTCTTTTATACATTCAGCACAAAAGAAATCTGTTGCCTAAAACTGATATAGTATTGAAAGTCTATTAGCTTTCAGTCAGTAGACTGATGACTAAAATCAGGTCACAGCTGGATTTATTGTATCATTTAATGTTGATTTCAGGCTCAAGAAGATGCAGAAAAACTTCGTTCGGTTGTGATGCCCATGGAGAAGGAGATTGCAACTTTAAAGGATAAACTGACTGAGGCTGAAGAAAGAATAAAAGAGCTGGAAGCTTCAAAGGTGAGGAAAACAAAATACTAACAATAAGTGCTGAGGAAGAGTACAATAATTACCCATCTATCAACAGTACACATTGTTTCTTTACTTTGCAGCATGCCGTTTTTCTTGTTCTTTGGGACAGGAAACATGGTGACACTAGGAGATTTCTATTGTCCAACTCACTAAGCATTGTAAACAGATTTAAAAATAACAATTATCTCTGTATCCTCTCTTCTCTTTCAACTCTCTCTATGCCATGGCATCATCACTTTCTTCAAAACTCAGAGCTGTAGCTTTGCTTCATCTGCATCTTGCTGAATACATTTTGAATTTACTAAGAAAACAGAGGTTTACTAGTGAGCATTAAAACTCAATGAAGATTTAATTAATTAATCAGAATAATGCTGGAAGGGACCTTGGAGGTCTTCTAGTCCAACCCCCTATTCAAGCAGGAGACCCTATACTATTTCAGACAAGTGACTCTCCAGTCTCTTCTTAAAAACCTCCAGTGATGAAGCACCCACAACTTCTGATGGCAAGCCGTTCCATTGATTAATTGTCCTCACTGTTAGGAAGTTTCTCCTTAATTCCAGTTTGCTTCTCTCCTTGATTAGTTTCCATCCATTGTTTCTTGGCCTGCCCTCTGGTGATTTGGAAAATAAGTTGACCCCCCTCCTCTTTGTGACAACCTTTGAAATACTGAAATACTGCTATTATGTCCCCCTTAATCCTTTTCTATAGACTAGCCAAATCCAAATCCTGCAACCGTTTTAGTCTCCAGGCCTTTAATAATCTTAGTTGCTCTTCTTTGCACTTTTTCCAAAGTCTCAACATCTTTTTTGTAATGTGGTGACCAAAACTGGATGCAGTATTCTAGGTTTGGCCTTACTTAGACTTTATAAAGCGGTATTAATATTTCACATGATTTTGATTCTATGCCCTGTGGGGAGTTGGCTATTCCTGTCAGCTTAATGTCATCTACAAATTTGATGAGTTCCCCTTCTGTTCCTTCATCTAAGTAATTTATGAAGCTATTGAAGAGCACTGGGCCTAAGATAGAACCTTATGGTACCTCACTGCTTAATTCCCTCCATGTAGATGTCAGTTTTGTCAGCCAGTTACAAAACCATCTGATGGTGATGCTATCTCACATTTTTCTGCCTTAGCAAGAAGTAGGATGTGGTCTACTTTGTCCAGGCCTCACATTCAAACTTGATAAGCTAGGTATTTATAGCATTTAAAGAATACATTATGGTTTGAGAAAACCGATACTGCACTTAAAAATCTTTCTTTCTCCCTCTGCTTTTTAACAACATATTGCAATATTCCCTTGGAATTTTGTATATTGCATGAATAGGGCAAATGATTGCGTTTAAGTGGTAGTTTGTAATAGGTTTTATTTCTTATAATATCCTCTTCCTAATAAACTAATAGCAGTTCTGCTGTTTAATATTCAAGATATCCCAGATACATCATTCCTTTTTTTCTTAATAACTTGTAATATTTGCTTTCAGCAGAGGATTATAGAAGATCTTGTCTAGCAAGTGAATATTAAAAGATAAGGAAGTAGCATTAATTATCTTTCTAACTGTAGAGTTTACCTTTCCACAAATACTGTGGTGGAGATGATCCTCCTCACATAGTCCTTTGCATGCTATTAACCTATGAAACTGAAGCAGAAGGTATTATGAAGCAAACAGCTGTCATCTTAAAATCCTCTCTTAATGATACATTATTATACACATATATAATGTCTTTATATAATTTGTTCTAGGCATTTTAGAGGCTGATGTATGGGCTAAAAGTCTTAAAGTAAGCAATATTTTTATTTTTAAAAATAGGAAAATAGGTAATAAAGTAAAACACCAACTTCTGTTGATTCATTATGTGCCATCACGTATTAGTGATCATTAGTGTAGAATGATCTGTCCCAACCAAGCCCTTCAGGCTGTCCAATATTGCACTTGTCATCACTCTATTCAAGTTCATCCATCTTACTGCTGGTTTTCTTCTTCTCTTTCCTAGCATCATATATTTCTCAAAAGAGCTTCTCTTTACATTGTGTGTCCAAAATATAATTTCAGCCTGCTCATTTGTGCTTCAAGTAACAACTTGGATTGATCGGTGATCTATTTGTTTGTCTTCCCTGCTATCCATAGTATTCCCAGGAGTCTTCATGTTTGAAAGTGTACTCTTTCTGTGATTTTCAAAATCTAGCATTCACTTCCATAGAGTGTTACAGGGAAAACAATTGCCTGCATAATTCTGAACTTTGTAGGTATTGACATGTCAAGAAATATTTTTTCAAGGCCTTCAATATTACATTACCAAATGCTAATCTCCGGTATATTTCTTGATTGCTGATTTCTTTACTGTTAATAGTTGATCCCAAAATACAGATACTATCTTTGCTATCTTCCTTGTCAATTCTGAGGCTGATTGCTGTACCTGTTATCATTATTTTTGGTTTCATATTTAATCTCAGTTCCATTTTTTCACTTTGCTCCTTGATATGTTGTTAATAGAGTTTACAGATCATTTGATTTTTCAGCTATCATTGAAGTGTCACTGTCTATAGTATAAATTATTAATGTTTCTTCCTCTAGTTTTGAAATCATGCTGATCTTTTTCCAATCTAATAAGCAATAAGGAGAACTGCAAATGTCATATTTTTGGATCATTTTCCTCAATAAATCAATGAACAAGTATAAAGTTTTTGACAATTATTTCATTGGGTACTCTTTATCTAGTTTAAAGACTTATGTGGAGAACAGGTTGTGTTTTAGGACATACTGTATTTATACAGAAATATTGAAAATTCAAAAGGGTTCACAAACATTTAAGCACCACTGTAAAGCTACAATGTGGGTAATATACAAGACCTAGGTATGTTGTTACATATATCAGTATGTATTCCGGAATGACAATTTTTTCTAACATGCTTAGAAATATACTTGATAAATATTTATGCTAACCATTAACTTTTGCCTCATTATATGTTTTCAGGTTAAAGAACTGAATCACTACTTGGAAGCTGAGAAATCCTGTAGGACAGATCTAGAAATGTACGTGGCCGTTTTGAATACTCAAAAGTCAGTTCTGCAAGAAGACGCAGAAAAATTACGGAAAGAACTTCATGAAGGTATGGATTTTTCTCTGGGCTAAAAGTATGAAAATAATTTAATATAGATTTAGAACATGCAATACATGCTTAAGCTAAGCTGTGTGTAATGCTCTTCTAAATACAGTGTAATGTCATCTCATATTGGAAAAATAACTCTTAGAGCCCACAATCCAAGGAAGGCAGGAAGGTTCATCCAATCTTTGATTTACAATTAGTATGTATATTTAAATATGTGATGCATTTTAAGGGAACTATTTATTTTGTAATTTGTGGAGTTTTCTCTTTTTTGACTTTCGTTTTCCTCTATTTGACATCTGAACAAATGGTTTTCTGCAGAATGAAATTATAAAGAATATGAACTCAATAAAGAGCTATAAAGAAGCAATGTTGTTGAAATAGGGTAAGCTTACGTGAGCAATATCAAGCAGTAAATCCAGTTCTTCATGTGTTCTCGAGTACTGAGAACAGACAGAATAAAATTGGAACACTGTGTCTTACCTATGAGTAGCCTTCTGAGGCTCAGATCTGATTTGCCTGTATTAGGATCTTACAAAATTATTATTAAAAATGCTTTTTTATTATTCAGCTGAGTCTCTGTAGACTATCTGGCTGAAGAATGACGTCTATATTTGTAGTAGTTCCTATTGTATGCACATATAGTTTAGGAGACGTAAAGCATTCTGGACCAAATAAATCTTTAATGCTGTTCTTCCTTATCCATTGCTTCCACAAGAACTCAATATGCACTCTCCTGAAAGTCTTACACCAGGAGAACCTGTAATCTGAGTTTGATGAGATGAATGAGCTTGGAGCTCTTCAAAATGTAACATTCTTATTATATCAATATGAGTAAATCATCAAGAATGATTTATGCACCCCATAAAATTAATGGTGCAACAAAATATATCAATTCAATTGTTGTAGTGGTTCTCAGAGTTGCTACAACACAAGTTAAGAAAAATTAAGAACACAAGTTAAGAAAAAAAAAACCTACATTTTCTTTAGTGTTCAAAAACTATGGAAAATAGTATTGGCTGAAAATTTAACATAACAACAAAGAGTAGTTCTTACCAATGTGTATCCTTAACAGAACTGCATCTGTGTGAAGGAAAGTATGCAGTGGGATACCCCAAGGCTTTGCCTTAGGCCCAGTACTCATCAATGATTTAGACGAGGAGATAGAAGGGGAAATTTGCAGACAACACCAAGTTGGCATATTATTATTAATCTTTATTGATTAGCCCTTGAGCCATATCAAAGTGCAAAGTTCCAATAACAAATCATTACCAACGTCTAATAAAAGCAATTTAAAATAAAATTTGATAAAATACAGTTTAAAATGGAACACCAAGTTGGCATAAATAACCAATACTCCAAAATATAGGCTCAAGATACAGAAGGATGTTGACAGTCTTGAACACTGGACCCTATCTAACAAAATGAAATTCAATAGTGAGAAAAATACAATTTCACTCTTAGGCAAGAAAAGCCAAATACACAGGTATAGAATAGGTGGCACCTGACTTAATAGTAGTAACTGCGAGAGGGATCTGGGAGTACTAATGGACAATCACTTAAATATGCAGTGTGCTGCAGCCACCAAAAAAGCCAACACAGTCCAAGGCTGCATTAACAGAGGGATAGAATCAAGATCACGTGAAGTGTTAGTACCACTTAATAATGTCTTGGTAAGATCACAGTTGGAATATTGCATCCAGTTGTGGTTGCCACAATATAAAAATGATGTTGAGACTCTAGAAAGAGTGCAGAGAAGAGCAACAAAGATGACTAGGAGCTTGGAGGCTAAAGCATAATGAAAAACAGTTGCAGGAACTGGGTATATCTAGTCTAAAGAAAAGAAGAAACAGGGGTGACATGATATCATTGTTCCAATATTTGAGGCGCTGCCACAAAGGAGAGGGGGTTCAGCCTATTTTCCAAAGCACCTGAAGGCCAGATAAGGAATAACAGATGGAAACTAATCAAGGAGAGAACTAACCTAGAAATAAGGAGAAATTTACTGACAGAACAATTAACCAATGGAACAGCTTGCCTTCAAATGCTCCATCACTGGAGGATATTAAGAAGAGCTTGGACAACCAATTGTCTGAAATGAGGATTCAGCAGGGGTTGGACTTGAACAGGGGTGTCAAACTCAATTTCATTGAGGGCCGCATCAGCATTGCGGTTGCCCTGGGGGGGCGGGGGTGTGTGGCCAGGGTGAGTGCGGCCTACTGGGTGGGCGTGGATGGAGTGGGTGTGGCCTACTGGGTGGGCATGGCCAGCTCTACATTGTTCGCGTCAAGGGTGCCTGTGGGGGCCTGGGCAGGAGTGGGACAGATCTGAGGGTCTCTGGCACAAGGGGGTGGAACTGGGGCAAGCGCCAAGGCATGGTCCATTTCTTCATTCCTCACAAAGGGTGACACCTCCCCAGCATGCACCCAGGGGGTGGGGCTGACACGGCAGGGGCTGGTGCCTCGGTGTTTCTAGACGGCCTAGTACAACTAAGACTGAATGCATTTCAGCATAGATGGCCACCACAAAATTGTACATTGGCTCCCGGCCGGCCAGGGCCAAGGCAGTGGGGGCCATTCCCTCACTGTTTCCAGGATGGCTTCGCGGGCCACCTTTAACCACTTCGCGGGCCACATCTGGCCCCCGGGCCTTGTGTTTGACATGTCTGGACTAGAAGGTCCCTTCCAACTCTGTTATTCTCTGAGTCTTGAACAAAATTTAAAGATTCCTTTTGCTGCATTTTATTTCTATTTTAGTTAGGATAAAAACATTGAATGTGTGGTTGAAAATGTTGTATTGTTCCTTATGTTTATTAAATATATTTATATAAATACATATTTATATTAATATATAAATATAAAATAAATTTATTACCAATTTTCTTGCTGTTGTCTTTAGCTATATAGTTTCTGTTTTACTCATTTGGCTTTTAAGTTTCTTTTTTTAATTGTCTGTACTTCGTGATTGCTGTCTATAACAGCAGTAAATTATGACATGAAATGAGGACTATTTGAACAGCATGCTTACTTTGCTTCCAATTATTGTGTATGTTAGTGCTCAGTATGTTCCTAGATATGTACAAAATATTATTGCAGTTAACTTTGTGAGCAAACTTAACTGCAACAATTCAAAATGGAGTTCACTGTCTGTTTTCATATAGTATGCCATCTACTAGAGCAGGAAAGGCAACAGCATAATCAGCTCAAACACACGTGGCAGAAGGCCAATGACCAATTCTTGGAGTCACAGCGTTTATTGATGAGGGACATGCAGTGGATGGAGATGGTGCTGACCTCAGAACAGCTACGGCAAGTTGAAGAACTAAAGAAAAAAGACCAGGTTAGCTAATGCAGCATTGAGATTTGTAGCCAGGCTTTCTTGTGATTGAACAAGGGAGACTGGAGGAAGATGCAAGGGAGCATTTGTTTCTAGTACTGTAATATTTTTGGGGGGCATATTCTTAATGATATCAAATATCTAGGTGGGATTAAAATGGATTGTGATATATTTGTGAGGTTGGTTGTACATATGCAGAATGAACGGAAGAAGGATATGCATTGTGAATTATGCAGATAGTCCTCAACTTACAACCACAATTGAGACCTGTTGCTACGAAAGGCAGTTTGCTAAATGAGTCGCACCTGATTTATGACCTTTTTTTGACATGGTTGTTAAGCGAATCACTGCAGTCGTTAAGTGAACCATAAGATTGTAAGATGAACCTGGCTTGCCCCCATTGACTTTGCTTGTCCAAAGCTGGCTGAGAAGATTGTAAACGGAGAGCACAGGATTCCAGAAACCTGCAACCGTCATAAATACATGTTGGTTGCCAAGTGCCCAGAATCTGATGACAGGACCACGGGGATATTGCGACAATTATAAAGTACAAGGATCAGATCCAAGTTACTTTTTTCAGTGCTGTAGTAACTTCAAACGGTCGCTAAAGAATAGTTGTAAGTCAAGGACTACTTGTAGTTTGCATAATTTGTATGGGCTTCTGATGTTTGCATTACTAATATCCAATATTTTGCATAAGGAAGCCAACTTTTAAGTTAGATATATTGAAATGTCAATTATACTAAAAGATAATGATGTTGTAGTCTGGATTTTTAAGAACGATTTGTATTAATCTGAAATGATGCAGTTTTTGGTACGTGGGGATAAAGGGAGCATTTTCTGTCTTGCAAATTTTAAAAAAAAACACTTTGATTTTCAATTTTTATTCTAGGAGGACGAAGAGCAAAGAAGACTTCATAAAAGGAAAGGAAAGAAGGAGAAAGGCACTGACGATGAATCAAATGTACCGGTAATATTTTCTACAGTTCATGAAGAAGCGCTTCCATCATTCCCTGGTGAAGAGGTAAACTTAGTTATTTTAACAGCACTCTCTTCACTGGGAATGTTTCTTCTTCTTCTTTTTTGCTTAGCGTGTTACATGAATCAACCCATTTAGTCAGTTTATTGCCCAGTATATTGTACAAACTGACAATGTATTGCATAGTTAATTTAATAGCCAGGTTAAGCACATTGTGTGAATAGTTCCATAAGTCACTCTTCAATGATTTTTTTATGGAACAGTTTGACAGAGATTGAAGGTACAGCCAGGGGGAGAATGCATTTGACTTTTGAATATTGTATCTATAAGAGCTGGTTTTATACCAGCCCTGGAATTGGCAACTGAAAGCAAATTCTTCCTTCTTTTCTTGCAACAATGTTTAAAATTACAATATTTATTGTGAAGCAATTGGTCCATTGTGTGAGTTTTCTTACCATCTCCTACAACTATGTAACTTGACTTGAAATTTATTTTATTGTTAATCCATGACAAAACATGTTTCAGAAATTAGCTTTTAATCAAGGTACAGGTCAATAAGTATGAAATAATTTGAGACGTTGTAAGTATGGTTTAAAAAAGGGAGAGATTGTTATATGACTTTGCAAAAGATTTTGGCAAGGGATTCTGTTCTCTTACAAACAGATTAATCACTGATGTTTGATAACTTTGTATTTGAGAAACTGTTCCAAATAAGCCTAAAATGGAAGACAGATGTTCCAGTTCTTTCACAATAAATTCCCAATGAGAATTTTGTTTTGTGCTTCCTCAAAATATTTATCTTAAGCTTTACTTTCAAAGTAAAGAAGCTATTTTTATGAGTTACAAACAGGATGGACAGGTTCTGTTAGGAGGAATCAATCCTGATGGTACCTGAGGTTAAGCTCTATAGAGCTTTATAGGTCACTATCAGCACCTAAATTGTATTTAGAAACATATTAGCAATGAATGTAGTATTTACAAATCTGGTCCTACAGTTGAATCAGATCTTCCTCATCAGAATGCAATCTGCAACATTCTGTACGAGTTGCAGCACTTGAGCGGTCTTCAAGGACAGCTGTAAATAGAGCATAGTTCAGTAACCCTGTTTGAAGTGAGGAGAATATGACTTGCTTCCTGCTCCCCAAATGACTGTAGCTAAGCAAATGCATCTCTGGCCATATTCTCCACCTACTGATCCATTCAGAGTCTGAATCTAGAAGCATTCTAGTCTCCTTTAGAGCTATTTCTTTAAGAGCACAGCCCATTCCAGAGCAAGTGGAGGGGCTGACAAACTGTTGATTTCTGAATAAGAAATAACTCCTAATCTGAATGAAAATAAGCTATAAAGAGAGAGCATGCATCAAAAGAGAAATGTTATGAATAATGAAAACTCCACTGAAGGGGTAGTTGGAAGAAGATTTCATTTTGGAGATAAATGTGGGGGAAAGTCCATAACTCATTGGCAGATTAAATATTTTAGTACTCCCCAAATTCTCCATTCAGTTCTCAGCACTTCTTGAATACTGATCCTTAGAAATTTTCAAAGCTGTTCGGTGTAGACAGGACGGGGTTAGTGGAGCAATGATTTGGCTGGATATAAGGGAGTTTCTGTTGTTGGACAGTTTTTCTGTTTCAATTATAGGTGCACATCAACAGCACTCATGGTTCAGCCCACTCGCTTGACACAGATGCGTTGCTGTCTTCAGGAGAGTCTCTCAAGTCGGACAATGACATGTTTAAAGAGGGACTGCGTAGAGCTCAGTCAACAGACAGTTTGGGAACATCGGGATCTTTACAAGCCAAAAGTCTGGGCTACAACAATAAAGCCAAATCAGCTGGGAACCTTGATGAATCTGACTTTGGGCCATTGGTTGGGGCAGACTCTATATCAGAGAACTTTGACACTGCCTCCCTGGGCTCTCTGCAAATGCCTGGTGGGTTTATGCTAACCAAAGACCAGGAAAAAGCAATCACAGCAATGACACCAGAGCAGGAGGAAACAGCATCCCTTCTCTCCAGCATCACACAGAGTGTAGAAAATGCTTATGTGTCTCCTAATGGTTACCGTTTAGTTAGTGAAACAGAATGGAATCTGCTTCAGAAAGAGGTATGTCTTTGTACATACTATATATTCTCATCGGTATTTTACAGATNGATGATTATGTATTATACAGTGGGTGATTTGTGTATTATATGGTACCTCTCTCCTGAAAACATTTTGATTTTTATCCAAAATTGCTACAGTTATAGCCATCATCATAGTGGAAATTACACATATTCTTCTATGAAGCTTCCCAGAGAAGTAATGGTTTTATGTTCTCCAGGTGCAAAATGCTGGGAACAAGCTGGGAAGGCGCTGTGATATGTGTTCAAATTATGAAAAACAGTTGCAAGGTATCCAGATTCAAGAGGCTGAAACAAGGGATCAGGTGAGTGCAGTTTGGTCTCTAATCAAACAGAAAGTGAGATGATTCCAAGGGGTAAGGAGAAATAAAAAGTTAATTTTCACTTAGGGCTATTTAGCTACTAATTACAGCATCAATACTACCCTATCTTTTCACAACTCAGGGCAATTTACATCATAAAATTAAAATAAAATGCAGTAAAAAATCACAAAGGCAATCCACGTTCACTGATCACCCCGTTAATATTTCATCCTATTAAAGGTGTTAGTGTAAAATGAGGACACTTTTGTTGGTGGTTCTCTGTGAACCTCAGATATTACTCCTTTTCAGTTACTATTTCAGTTTTGTCTATTCTGACTCAACTTCTTAGGATTCAGCATATTTAAAACTCACTAGTTTGGCCAATAGAGTATATGAAAAGAGTTACCTCTCTGTAATAAATGAGACATTTATAGGGAAGCCATCTAATAAGAATAAGCCACTCACCCATTAAACAATTGGAGAGAGATCTGAAGTTTGAAAACTCACCTGGATCTCAGCAAATTCCCCAGTTCCAACACCTTTGCCCTATAGCAGTGGTGGTGAACCTATGGCACGCGTGCCAGAGGTGGCACTCAGAGCCCTCTCTGTGGGCACTTCTCTGAACTGCTGGTGGCAGGCTACAGAGCCCCAGAGTTCGCCGGTCGAGGGGCCGGCAGGCTGTGGCTGCTGACGGACAATGTCGGCCCCCATGCGCTCGCTGGCCTCTGTGCGCGGGGGCCGATGGTGTCAGGCAGCAGCTGCCCTAGCCCCTGCCTTGCCTTGCCCTGAGATAATGGCATCCCCACCCTGCTTCGCCTCACCCCGCAGGACGACCCTCCTACCCACCGCCCCACCTGCCAGAGATCCCCTGGATCTCCCCCAACCCTGCCCAGCCCCCACAGGCGTCCCTCCCCACGAGCAACATCAAGGTGACCACACCCACCTTGGCCACAGCCACCCAATCTGCCATGACCACCACAGCCACGCCCCACCCAGTGGGCCACGCCCACCTGGCACCCGGCGATACATAAGTGGGTTTTGGGTTGCAGTTTGGGCACTCGGTCTCTAAAAGGTTCGCCATCACTGCCCTATAGGAGCTGGCCTTTGAACTCTCTCTCAGTAATATTCATGCTGATATTCATGCCTAATCCAAGAATAGCCAAGTCAGTGTGTGCAGCTGAGGTAGAGACATCTGTGAAATGCCTGTTGCTATTTATGTCAAGGGAAAGCTGCTGGACCTTAAGACAGAATAAGCAGTGGGTAGAAACAACTTTGCTAGCGCTTGTTCTCTTTGCTACATTACGAATTCTCATGCTTTCTTCTGTACACGTAAATTAATGCCGCTTATGCAAACTTACTCCTTGTGTTAATTCAGTGATCAGTTAGTTCAGCATCATTTATTATATACAGGCGTAAGAAAAACAACTTATTATAAATATTGCTTCAGTCCTGACTTTTGCAATAAAATTCATTTGCTGTTTATGCACAACCGTTCAGATTGTTTAAAGCAGGGGTAGGCAACCTTGGCTCTTTTATGACTCGTGGACTTCAACTCCCAGAATTCCTGAGCCAGCACAGCTGGCTCAGGAATTCTGGGAGTTGAAGTCCACGAGTCATAAAAGAGCCAAGGTTGCCTACCCCTGCTTTAAAGAGTACTTAACTGTCGGTCAGTATTGAATGATTTGGATTTGGAGTTCATTCGTTAAAGGCTTTGGGCTTGTTTTCAAGATCAGAGTTGGCTTTTAAGCTGATTCACTTAGACTGATTCCCTGCACTGACTGTCCCTTCAACACATGATGATTCCCCAGTTATATCATTATGCTTATTTTCTTGTACAGTTCATGAGTCACTTACAGGTGCAGAGATTTCTGCCTTCCACCCACGTCTGTATAAGGGTGCGAGCAAATCTGTTCTTGTTTTCATGAGAAATGAGTTAAAAGCACCTAATTTGGGGGAAGAGTTCCTTTGTTTGCTTTCAACTCAGTTCAACCTCTTATTCATTCTCAAATATATGTAAAAGTTGGAGGTTGGTAGAATAGAATAGAATAGAATAGAATAGAATAGAATAGAATAGAATAGAATGTCTTTCTTGTCATTGTGTAACTCACAACGAAATTAAGTGTTGTCACAGCGCACACTACACACAAGTAAAAACCACAAATAACAACATACATTATATACACACATCCTTCACATTCTATTCACCATTGCGTTGTCCCTAATATTGCACTTCAGTGTTGCACTATACAGTGGTATTTAATATGGTTACAGCTCTGGGATAAAAACTATTTTTCAGCCTATTTGTTTTTGTTTTTATTATCCTGTACCGTCTGCCAGATGGTAATAGTTCAAAAAAAAAGAATAGTACCCGATCCTGTGTGTAAACCCTCCAGAAGACAAACCAAATACTTTCAGATTTTTTTAATCTCTAGTGATCTTATTAAAGTTTAAACTGAATTTAATAGAACTTTTAAATTTAGTTTCTTCATAAACATTTGGATAAGGTATTTGATTCTATGTTCTGCTATGAATACTTACGTTTCAGAGAATGAAAGCATATTGTACGATATTTCCATTAATGCTAAAAGAGGAAATAGTGCATTTTTATGAACATAATCAAACGCAACAGATTATCTTTCTACCCTTTTAAGATAAAGAATTCAGAATTCTGTATTAACATTTTGTTATGGCTGTGATGTTAGAAAAGGTTATATCATTAAGCAAAGAGGGCGTGGACTATAATGAAACTCTCATTTTCATGGTTTCTTTATTTTATCTTGTTTCTCAATTATAAGCATAGATTTTTGTCTTGGGGGAAATTTAACCTTATTTAGAAAAGGGATGTTTATGTTGTATTGTGTCTAACCCCATAGGTGAAAAAACTTCAGATGATGTTGAGGCAGGCCAACGATCAGCTAGAAAAAACAATACAAGAGAAACAGGAGCTGGAGGAATTTATGAAACAAAGTAGTGAAGACTCAGTAAATCAGGTAAAGAAAATCTTACAGAAAACTAAAAATTCTTTAAGTGAGAATGACCATTGCACAGAGCATATATTTTAACTGGTTGATTCTTTTTACATAAATTGTATACTGGAGAATATACGGGAAATGTTTTGAGAGTATGTTTATCTTGTAAAGTTAACAGGATCAAATATGATTAGTATGAGGTTGTTAATATAGATTGGGAATTCAAAAAACATCCCAGAAGGCAGCAGTGGCAAACCAATTCTGTATTGTTGATTTTTTTAAAAATCTGCAGATAGTCCTCAAGTTACAATTGGTTGTTTAACAACTGTTCAAAGTTACAATGGCCTCAGAAAAGGTGCTTTACTTCTGGCCATCATAAAATGTTGCTCCTCCTCACAATCAAATGACTGCATTTCAGGTGCTTGACCACCAGCATGCATTTACATCAATTATCAAGTGCCCTGCGATCATGTGATCGCCATTTGCAGTCTTCTCCACCAGCTTTTCCAGAGGGTCATTGGGGAAGCTGGCAGGAAAGGTTGCAAGTGGAGGGGATAGAGGAAGGTTGAAATTATTTGTGAGGCTGCAGGAATGGAGTTGAAATCCTGAAGAGTTCAGCTCCATTCTGGAGTCCCATAGAGGAGAGAGGAAACCCTTCAGCAGATTCACTTCATGACCCCGAAGATTGCTTTACTGGTGCAATTGGGAGTGCCAGGATTATGGGCTTTGCTCAGTGACCGAGATTGCAGTTCCAACTACCTGTACATGGTTGTATTTGGGAAATCACCAGAGGCAGACCTCAACTTGGAGACTACCTTTAAATATTTTGGCGCATTTGCTCCATTGTTACTGAGATTTTAGCATGGAATTCTATAGAAAAAAAATTGAAAATAAGCCTGCTAAAAAGTGAGAAAAAAGTTTGCATACCAGTTATATATGCCATTTGGTATTCGTGATGTGTGTGTATAATTTATTCATATCCCCCCCCTTCCTTCTTTTTGACAGATCTCATCACTTACTGCTAGAGTTCAGGAATCTGATGTCTTACTTAGTGAATTACAGCAGGCATTTTGTCAAGCTAAAAGAAATGTCCAAGATCAAATGGTAAGCAATGAAGAATTATTTTAATACACATATTTGAATATATTTGTTGTTGTTTATTCTGTATCTACAGTATTGTTATATAATAACAATATGTACATTATTCCATTTATCTGCACTGTAGAATGAAGTAAGTTTTTTCTACAGACAAGTATCACTCTTGGGTGCTGTCCATTTCTAGCTGAATATGGAGGACAGTTTAGGATATTTTAGTTGGTTTTGGTCTCAAAAGCCTGCACAGAACGTATCTGTTTATTTCTTGTCCTTATTTGAAGAGCAAAACCAACTTTTATATGCTCTATGAAAGGCACAAATTGTTTCATAGGAATAGCCAGTGAACCAACAAGGGGCGCAGAGCTTCTGGGAAGGGGATCTTTCAGTATCTTCTCTTCAATACACCTGCAACAAGTTAGACTAACAGTCTTCTGTGATTAAGATCTGCAGTTGGAATTACCTTATGCTATTTATGAAGGGGAAATTTGTAACCTGCCCTAACCCAGTTTGGCACTCTGCATCAATTAGATACTGTTTATGGAACATACTGGTCTGCTTGACAATAAATAAGGGAGGAGAACCCAGATGATGTTGGGTTGGGTTGTTTTTTGGTGATGTCTGTCCTTCAATATTGGGGAACTTGGGTCCCAATGACATCTATAGGGACGTCAACACAGGCAAGATAACTGCATTGTGTAAAATTGTGGCAAGTGTATATAAGTGGCAGTCACAACGTACATGCTCACGATGCTGTGGCTACCATGCTGCCTGTTTTCATATACTGTATACATTGCAGCTGCTCTTTGGCCTAACTTACTCACAAGGTTATTGTGGAGGGAATAGGAGGCAGAAACATTATATACACCACCTTGCATTATACAAAATGAGTGATATACCAGTCTAATAAATGAATACATTTAAAGCATCAAAACTGCTTATTTTTGTTCCTACTCGTACACTAAGACAGTATTTTTGATGACGGCCGTGGTTTTGGTTTTATGGTCACTCGGATGATCCTTCTTACAATATTGAACAAGGTCTACCTGTACTTTTTGAAGCTGGGACCTAGAGAGGATTGCTGTATTGCCTAGATATCAGAGAACAGATATGTGTTTCTTTTCCAGCTGGTCTAAATGGTGAAAGACCAGTTTGTCTCAACGGGCCAGAATGACATTTAGGAAAATGCTGAACAGAAAGGAATACAATTGAGTGGAATGATACAGATAAGAGACCTGGGGCCCATGCCATTATGGAGGCAAGCCCAGAAATATAGTCAGGAAGGTGGATTGGGACAAAAGTTAGCTCTGAATTTCAGTTGGGTGGGTTTCTTATAAACTCCTCATGGTCTTATTAGCTGTGCTGCCTGTGAAATAGCAGCTTAATAGTGGTAAGAATAAGCTCTAGACAGTTTGGCCTTCTTCCTTACAAGTTGATCTATTGTTCTGCAGTATTTTGGAGGAAATCATGTGCCCTTGGAGGGGTCTGTATTTTTATTTATGCTGCCAATTCTACAGTTATTCTTTTTCCTAGAACTGTACACTCCAAACTTCTTTCACTTAATGTAGATTCCTGTGTTTGTTCTTTGTTTTTCTTTAAAGTTAGGTAATTATTAATTATTATAGAATTGTATCTGCTGTGTCTGATTTACTTCTAGAATGTTAAAATTGCTAAGGCCTTGCTACCACAACTGAACCCAGTTAGCTGTTAGTGTTTCCAACAAATCACAGTTGAAATAAGTGGACCAAATCATTTGTAAATGCAGAATCTTTACTTAGTTCAGGGGTGTCAAACTTGATCGCATCACATGACATATCCTGATGTATCGTGATGATTTTTAAAATAACAACCACCACCACCACCACCACCACCACCACCACCACCACCACCACCACCACAACAACAACAACAACAACAACAACAACAACAACAATAATAATAATAATAATAATAATAAAGTTGAAAGGGATCTTGGAGGTCATCTAGTCCGACCCCCTGCTCAGGCAGGAAACCCTATACCATTTCAGACAAATGACTGTCCAGTCTCTTCTTTAAAAACTTCCAGTGTTGGAGCATTCACCACTTCTGGAGGCAGGTTGTTCCACTGGTTAATTGTTCTAACTGTCAGGAAGTTTCTCCTTAGTTCTAGATTGCTTCTCTCCTTGATTAGTTTCCACCCGTTGCTTCTTGTCCTGCCTTCAGGGGCTTTGGAGAATAGCTTGACTCCCTCTTCTTTGTGGCAGCCCCTGAGATATTGGAACACTGCTATCATGTCACTCTTGTCCTTCTCTTCATTAAACTAAACATACCCAATTCCAGCAACCGTTCCAGCTCTTTCTCTTCAAGGATATGGTAGGCAAACTGAGTTCCTTAATTGGGTTTATGTGTTTACACAGAATACTTACGTTTGTTTTGTGTTGAATAGCCTTACAGACTGGCTGTATCTTTTAACTTATCCCTTTTTTCAGTGTTTTAATTGAAAACTTCACAGCTCACCTATTTAATTAAGTTGTGGGAACAGGGAGAAAGTCATAGTGAGCAAGGATATTCTTCATATTGGTATTTTTTTCCTGTTTTGTCCACTACCTGCTTCTGCCATTTTAATGAAATGTGAGTTAATCTGAAGAGCTGATTTTTAAGGATTTAATTCTTTCTTTGTTTGCTGGAGGCTGTCCTGATGCAGTCACGAGAGCTTGTTTCAGAGGAATTGGAGAGGCTCCAGAAAGACAACGAAAGCCTTCAAGGAAAACATTGTCTGCATGTGTCTTTACAACAAGCTGAGGATTTTATCCTTCCAGAAACTGGAGAGGTAGGATACCTCTTGGATAATTTTAAATAGATCCATTTGGGGCATAATATTGGGTAAGACATTCTTGCAACTAAAGTTTAGGAATAATGGCTATCACTTTTTTAAGATTAGAAAAGTAGAAACTTGTTTCTAGTAATGTATGTGAGTAGATCCACATGTTGATTGTAATATTTATCTAAACTGAAATCTTAAATTAGTAAAAACTGCCACCCTATCTATGGTCATGTTTTAGTGTTTATCTGCCTTAATCTAGATAACTTTCAGTATATCTTGAACAATCACTGGTATTTTCACTCTAAAGCAGCCTATACTATATTTTGTTATTTTAACTTTTTGTTTCATAAGGAGAAAAGAGTGTTTCTTAGTTATAAAGTGTAAGATTTGTAGCCATATAAGTTCATCCGATTTCTGCTTGGAAGCATTTGACATCAAGGAAGATAGCTTATTATGCAATTGTGGTAATATGTTTTCAAACAGCATTGTAAGCTGGACTCTGAAAACAGTTAAGAGTCTAGAGAATTCTCTAGACTTCTAATTACTATATTGTAAAGCATTCAAGACTATTTCCCCTTTTGTATCTTTCCCTCCTTTTGTCCTTTTCAAAATCAATTTTAAGTCAAAGTCCCTTACAGTTTATTACACCATGGTATATACATGCAGGAAGACAGTTGTTTGACCTATCTAAGCCTTTGTTTCAGGAACTCCGCGAACTGGTCCTCAAGTATCGTGAAGACATTATTAGTGTACGAACTGCGGCCGATCATCTGGAAGAAAAACTGAAGGCAGAAATTTTATTTTTAAAAGAACAGATTCAAGCTGAACAATGTTTAAAAGAGAACATAGAAGAGACTCTGCAGCTAGAAATAGAGAATTGCAAAGAGGAAATAGGTGAGACTAGGGCTCTCTTTATATTTAAGCACCTTTCAGGGAATTCCACTTTGCCTTCCTAATTTACTAGTCCTTCCTACTTAATATGAGCTGAATATGAGTCCATAAATAAAATTAAAACCTTTTTCCATCTTTTAACAGCTGCTGCATCCAGTCTAAAAACAGAATTGGAGCAAATAAGAGTTGATAAAGGGCAGGTAACTTATCTAAAGACTTTGGGAGATGTTCTGGGTGCCGTGGCAAATACCTTCCACCCCCTTGATGTTCTTTTTTTCTCCCCTGTATTCTTTGGATTACATTGGTCTCCTTTCAAAGGTCTTGTGTCTGTCTCAAAGATAGAGTAAATCCTTATCTAGTAGTGCAGTTACTTCAAATTCTTGGATGTGGAGAAAATGCTGTATATCTTCCTTCCTAGTCATGTTGTTTTTTTTCTGGGCAAAAAGAAGGAATGGTAACGGAGGGGCTACAGGGAAGGAAATAAGTTTTGAAAGCATTTAGATGAGACCATCAAATAGTGGTTCTTCATGCTTGTCCTCCTCTTTTCATGATAAAGTATCTGCCTAAAATTGAGGATCATATTCAAGGCCACAAGCTACTTCGGACTAATGGTAATAAGATACATGTCAAAGGACTAATTAATGCTATTCTCACCTGGCATAAAACTGCTTGCTCTGTGTATATCCTGATATCACACTCGCAAAACAAGTAGTCAGAAAACAGATGGTGTCAGGAACTTCTGAGCAGCAGAGGAGATTAAAATAAATGGTGATAGCTTCCGTTTTTGCTTTCAGTAAGGGAGAGGTTTACATAATTGAACTATTCCACAAAAGATTTACAAAAGCAAAAATAGATAGGCTGTAGAAGATCCCTAAGTGATTGGTTGGAACTGGAGAGCTTTTAGCCCATTCAATACTGATTCTTCCATTTTCACAGTTGGAATCTTCCTTGAAAGAAAAGATGCAGCAATTAGAAAATTTTGAGGAAAGGGAAAATGGTCTCGAAGAACAGCTGAAGAAGGAAGTTGCCACAAAGGTAAATAATTCTGTATGAATGACATTAAAGGGTATTGAGTTGCTATATGGGAAGGGGGCTGAAAGTGCTCAAGCCTTGTCATTGGTGGAGGATCTGTTTGTCATTGTGACAAACAGTTCACAAAAGAAGAGACTTGACTGGGATCAATACTGTATTTCTGAAGTCAACAAAATCCAAAGAGATTTGAAAGGAATACAGGGAACAGCCAGCCAGGCAGCAAATTAGATTCAGTACAGTATGAGCAATATATGCACATAGGGAATGGAGGATTGGAAATGAGAAGGAGCGAGTCCAATTTCCTACACCTAGAGATGTGGTTTGGATAAATTACCTTGAAATAGTGCAGTACATGTAGTAAGAGATCCCTTCTTTCCTAAAACCCTTCCAGTCTTCTCTGACTAAGAAGGCCATCATGCAGCTCCATTTATAAGCACCCCCACATTTCCAAGATGCAGAAATCATTGCTGTTTCCTTTTCCCAGGCTAACTTAGAACACATGGTGTTCGAGGAGAAGAACAAAGCTCAACGGCTTCAGACAGAATTGGATGTCAGTGAGCAAGTACAGAGAGACTTTGTTAAGCTTTCTCAGACCCTTCAGGTGAGGTGGTCAGCTCGGGAACAAAGGGAGTGAAAAGTGTCAGTTCTTGGATTTTCTAGTCACTAGAATTAGGTTTCTCTCAGATGTTTGTCCTATTCTTGTTCTACTGGGTTGCTCCTACCTTCCAAAGTCACAAGACCCATCAGGTTCTTCCAATAATGGTGATGAGTAAAATAGGTCTTGCTAAAGTTTGTCCTTCTGTAGTTACTTCATGCTCAGGGAAGAAATCATTTTTTTTTCTTTGAGAACACTCAAATGTAAATGTAGAAAGTGATCTTGGAGATCCTTGCCTTATGCAGAATCCACTATCCATCCAGGCTCTGTTTAATTTCCAGCAGAGGAAAATCCACCCCATCCCTAGGCAGTCCATTACATTTTGGGAACAGCCCTTGCTGTTTGGAAATGTTTCCTGAGAGCCAACCCAGATTTTCCTCCTTGAGTTTAAACAATTATTCCTTGTCCTGCCTTCTGAAACCACTCTGAATTAATTACTCCCCAGCTCCTACATGGTAGCCTTTCAGATTTTTGAAAACTGCTTTCATGTCTCCCTGTAATCTTACAGCTACCAGGCTAAACGTACCCAGTACCTCTACCTATGCATCTATTGATAAATGAATCTGTTGATCTTTAAAGTTTATAACTAAGAGAAACTCAATCCCCCTTAGAGATAGTCATTCTGTTAATGTTGTGTGTTGCTCATTTTTGCTCAGGTCCAATTGGAACGGATCCGGCAGGCAGATTCCCTGGAGAGAATTCGTGCAATCCTCAATGATACAAAACTGACTGACATTAATCAGCTACCTGAAACATGACAGCCTCAGTGGTAGAGCTGCAAAGCTACATTTTTTTTAAAACCTTCCTCTTTATAGCGAAACCTTTAATAATTATTTAATTCTAACTGAAAGAGCAGAAGATGACATAAGAGCCACGGTCCAGGTTGTGTTTCTGGGTGGGAGAAGAAGGTTTTCTGGGCAGGAAGAAAGTTTCACACTGAGATGAATTGCAGGACCCTCCAGGGTATCTGCCTTCAGTGTAGTTGGACTTTTCCATATAACTCATCTACCTTCATCCTCTTGCGCCCCCCCCCCCCCCCCGATTCTGGAATATGGCATTCCCTCCTTCCCTCTCATCCATACCCTGTTAAAATACTGTGATGAAAGTAGTTGCTGGAAATTGTCTCCTCCCATCCCACCCCAAATCTTTTGGAGTGAAGTTACAATAGCAAGTTGGGCAGAAGGGGAAAATAGTATATTGTATTAATATTTTATATTAAAATATGAATTTATTTGCAGGACACTGGATTTTGGGTTTTTCTAGCTCAGTACATTTTTTGTACCTTGAATGTTGTGCTGGAAGAGCCCTAACTAAAAACATGTGCAGAATACGGGCAGAAGAGGATTAGAGAAGGCTGCAAATTTTCAAAAAAGAACTTAAGGCACGGGGGGAAAATGGATAAGTAAGAATGTGGAAATAAGTCACCTAAATTCTTGAGACACAAAGGTCAGGGAAGTGACAGTTAATCTTCATAGAAAGAAAAGGAAGTGAAAATAAATTGCTTTTGTATCTCTCATTACTCCCCCCCCCAAAAAAAGCTGCATTGCACAATATCAACATATGGCTGGATCCAGCGTTACACTTTTCTCACTGAAATATGTGAACTTGAGTTAGTCGCATTTATCAATACACATTTGATTACCATGGCGTAAAAAAATTAAGCCGTATCATACTTCTAGTACAGAGGGGTTTTGTGAATCTTTACAGATTCTAGAAGACCTTTTGCTTTGAATGTATTTGTTTAAAGATTGGGGTTTAAAATTATACATTTAAGATAATGCTGCAACACATCAGATAGGAAATGTTTTATGAAGCTGCAGTTATGTTTATGCTTGGACTGAATGCTTCCCTTGAAAAGCCAGCACTCGTGATATACAGTAGGTCTGGAAAACCTTGTTCTGGACTTGCAATCAGAACATGCAAGATGCATTAAACTCCATTATGGAAAGGTCCCAGCAGAACCCAAATGCAACTGATTTGCTGTGATCCAACTCTGAGGGGAAAGGAAGATGCTTCTCTAAACTTAAAATGGAGCTTTTAAAATAATTTAATTAAAATTTAAATTATTAATTTTTTTTCCAGTCAGGAGGCTGCATGATTACTTGGGTTCCAATAAGAGCTTATAAACTCCTAGGAATTGTTTTAAATAGGATGAGTGTAAAGTAGATAAAATATGTTTAATCTGTATTTCTATTGAATTTTTATTCTTGTGGTCAAGCAGTTGAACAGATCAATGTTGACTGGGCTAATGGAGTTGCAAGCAACTGTTCTTTCCCAATTCTTCCACACCCTGTCAAGAGAGCAACTCTCAATTATGACATTCATTTTCTAAAGACCAGAATCAGTCTAACTTAATCATGTTTATTATGACTTGGTTCTTGAACAAGCAAGTATTGATCCAATATCTAATTCGTATATTGGTGTAAATAGATGAGCAGCTTGAGTACTTCCCCATTGTTGAAAAAAAGCTATCACTCTATTTTACTTTTTGGGTGGGCAAGGACCATCAACTGAGTGTATCTGTTTCAGGTTTTCTGGGTAGTAATTGAGGTGAGGAGAAAGGGGGGGGGGGCAACTTGATTCCCTGTAAGTTCTAATTATGTAACTGGTACAAAATCAAAAAACATTTGCTGGAATCCAGTCTGTTTCAATCTGCTGGTTAGAAAAAAATGTTAAAAACATTGCAGTGACAAAAAAAGAAATGAAGAACTTGCTCTAATGAAGTGCATTAGCATGTTTCTTTGCATCTTTAATATGGTATTAGAAATGGATTTACCCTTCTTCCATAATCCTGCTGATGCAATTGGTACATCATTAAATTTCAACGACGATGGCTTTCCTTTTAGGAAAGCAGCATTTTCAAAGACCCCTGCCAAATATGGTCAAGCTCATCTAAGCATTTGTATTAAATTGGCTAAAAACCACATGTGTTAATTGGGGAGGCAATGCTATGATCTCTAAAGTGGGGAGATTAGCTATGACACACATAAAGAATGATACCCTAAATTGGATGCATAATATTCTGTTTAGCATAGTGAACAAGTACTGTTCTGCCATTCGTCCTGAAGCCTGGAAGTATTTCAGAATCATTAGGGAAAGAAATAATCAAACTAACATGGAAGGAAACGCAGGGAAAATAGATCTGTAGTACTACATTTAAAATTTATACATATAATTAAATATTGACAATATAATACTGTAACTCCACAAGTCTACAAACCCGAGAAGAATAATATGCTGCTAATTCACACAATTTTTAAAAGGGAAAATTTGTTTTAATGGCAGGAAATGCTAATTTCAAAATTGATCTTGAAAATGAATTGCTTTCATAATTAACTTTTTTTTAAAAAGGCTGTATGGATCTGACTTTTTTAATGTAAAGGAGTAATTTATACCATTAGCTTTCAGTCTCATTCAAAGGCTTGGCTACTACAAATAGGTATAACACTGTGACATGTACTGATTTAAACAGGGATTGTGTGCAAAATGAGTAAAGAACAGTAAGGCTGGCTCTGTTCTGTATACTTGTACAGTCTTTTTGTATGCAAAATGTATACAAAAAGATCACAGAATTACTGGAAGACTTGTACAATCTTAATATGTGCACAATAGGTTCTTCCAATATGTCAAATAGTTTCCTTTCACTTTTGAATCTCCTATGGCTATACAGCTTCTAACAACACAGTGTGGCCAAGGATAAGGGTGGGAGATGGGTAAGTAATCTATAAAGCCCCCTTTTAAAAAAAACTAGCCTTCAAATTCCACAATTTTGGAATTATATTGCATTCCAGCAAAAGCCACTGGTGTCCTGTGAAACTGTGGATGTAAAATTATCCTGTCTATTGAATTAAAAAATGTAACCATTTGTTAACTGTATTGGAGGTGTATACTGCAAAAGTGTTCCAAATTAAAAGAGAAAAGTCTTGCAATTCTTTTCATACCTTCTTTCTATTTAAATGTATTGTATTGATGATCTAAGAAGGGTTCATAAGGTTAGCTCAGATGATGATCTATGAGGAAAGATTTGGTACAGTGGTTGTATTGATTTTTATTTTGAAACAAGCAGTGTGATATTACAAACATGTATTTAAATTGAAGTCACAAAAGGGCGGATGTCAGACATCTTTAGCATCATGCCTTCTGTAGAATGCTGCACCATGCATTATAACTGGACGCATCCTCTAACGAGTATTTAATAATGAATCTTTTTGTAAAAAATAGTTCAATTTATAAATTAGGAAAAAGGCAGCTGGTAATGTTTAATATTCCAGAAATGTAAGTCTTTAGTCTGATGACTAAAAGGTTACGTGATTCCGGATGTCATTTATTTGTTTCACCATCTCCTGAATGTGTTCTCCCCTGAAAGAGAGAAAAAAAATGTTTTCTTTATCTCAGTATTGAGCAAGGATAGTAAGAAAGACAGCTTGTAATTTAAATCTTTAAATGTAACAAATTTTGGTTAGTCCAGTGGTATTTGATGTATAAGTAATACCTACAGAGTCTCACAAATTGCCTTCCTCTTACTGGAAATAGAATTGGGGGGAGGGGTCTGTCACTCTCAGAAAGCTAGTAAATACACAAATATTTAGGACCTGTACAACTCTGGCCAGAACATATCATTTATATACACCATTAGTAAAGCACTTGCCAGCAGCCTAGAAACTCAGCCAAGATAGAAGCCTGTGCACCATGCAGGCATTTGCCATTAGCCAAATATTAAATCATGCAAGAAAATAATCATTTAGCTCAGCAAGCAATAGACTCACTCCTCTTTCAGAACAGCCCGGATACATTTCCTCTGATATGTGCTGAGGTTGATGCTCGGCTTCTGTGGACTGTTGCCCTTCTCCATTTTTCTCTGCTGGTAATCCTTTTTCATTTTAACCTACAATTATAGAGAAGCAACAAGGAGAAACACCTCAAAAATACTTTTATTTTCTAGATATGTTTTTAGAAATGAGCAACCACTTACCTGCTTGATAGCATTGCCTAAATGCCGCAATTGTTCTTGTATTGTTTGTAGCTCCTTCTTCATATCCTTTTCACTATCGGATAGGACAGGCAGCTGTGAATGGTAACTACGGAGAACTTTCTTCATCCTGTAGCCACAAAAAGAACATCAGGTTTCTAACAAGGGGCAGTGGAGGTGGGGTTTTGCTATGCATTTTCAGACTACATAACTCAGAATAGTGCTATACAGTATATAACTGTCCCTTTCAAATTTACTTGTAGATTTTAGTTTCTTATTTGGTGAGGTGTGATGTACACTTTTGTTCAAAAGTAAATTAGTTTTATTTTGCTAATTAAATATTAGCAGAATTATAGGTTACTCTAGCTGTTTGATGTTTGACAAGGAAAAAGAGGTACAATAGTACAGTACTAAGAATGATTGTTAGAAAACTAGCAGCCCCTTTTTTCTAAAAAGCTAAATACCGCTAAAGCAATTTTCACATTGAATTAAATAATAGTTTAGTTTGGTTTGACTTGACAGAACTTTTGAACCCAGTAAGTATGTTATCTGGTATTTTAGTGAAGCAGTTCCAGAGATAAAACTGCTTATCCATTTTCATTTTGCTGGTATGTAGCTTGTAACTGCCTTTCCATAAACTCCTCTATTAACACCTGTATTATAATTTGGAAAGGAATTCAGTTTAATGACTGGGCTTCTAAGCAAGTCTACAACAGTTTCTTTAGCAAGAAGTTAGATAATTACAGTTACTTCATCCAATCAGAATAATAAGATATCCTCACCTGTTCACAATATCCTCTTGTTTCTCTTTGGCTTCTTCATATTTGTCAGCCAAACGCTCTGCCATCTCCCTCAAGCTTTTCCTTTATGAGAAGACAAAACGTTACTTTCAGGACAGCAGCACACCTTTGTTTTTTTACACATAAAATGTATTTATTCCTTGAGTAATTTCATTCAATTTCTAATGGATACATTCATTGCAAATCAACTTCTATGATCCCTAGTAGCAGCATTTACGGAGAACCAAAAGAGCACTTAAGATACAGAATATACAACTTAAGTTTCACCTTGGAGCTAAATGTTAGGCCTGGTAATGTTAAAGAGAAAAAAGAAAAAGGCCAAAAGCATCTGTCCAAACCCAACAAACTCCACAAACTCCACAAACTAAGTTTTACCCTATGCCTGGACTGAGCAACATAAGGCTTCCTTAAATGCTTCATAGGAATTACAATTCTTGGGGTGGGAGAAGAAATAGGTTCTCTAGTCTACCCTATGCCTTCCTTTGTTTACTGTGAAACTTAAGACAGACGCTTCCACCCATGAACCTCAGATTCTGTGCCAGCTTGGACGATGGTTAGAGTATCGCACCCAGCAGATGCATGCTCATGTTAACCTTGGCTAGATTATTTCATAGTTTAACAAGTTGTGTGAACAATCTGGTTAGTGTACAGTTCAGTTTTACAACCTCAGAAAATTGAGGTTGTAAAATTGAGATTCAGCAACCTGGGTCAGTAGTCCTATAAATTGCTTCCTATAATGCCTGGCCCTCCCAGTCTAAGATAGGTGAATTTGTCTTGTTCAATGGTACCTATCAATATATGGCAGTAGCTCTCCAAAATTACGCACAAATGGGTTTTTGCAACTCTATAACTCATGTCCCAAAGTTACTTTACCAAAGAGCAACTGGACTTCTTTGGTTTTTTTCTTTAAAAATATTTCACTTCTCATCCAAGGATCTTCTTAAGTTCCACTTGGATGAGAAGTGAAATATTTTCAAGGAAAAAAATAAGAAAGACTCATTGCCTTTTGGAAAAGCACCTCTGGGGTAACCATGACCTGGATGATTGAGGATCTCCATAGACATCTAAAACACAAGCCATTCGAGCTATTGAATGTGTGTGAATCTGAAATACTTTCTGTTCAAGAATATTCTGCAGCATTGACTTTTGCTACTTCCATGAGGCAATCCAGTACTTGGAACCAGGAAACCCATCATAATTCTTTGTGTAGTTTTGCTCTAAACCATTCCGCCTAACTATGAGACAAGGCTGCTTTGTTTCCTCTCCTGAAATTAATCGATTTTGGATCTCTCATAACTGTCAGTGATGGCAGTATTCCATGCAGTTACATGAACTGCTTATGTTGCAGCTGGCCAAACAACTAGCAGTGAGAACTCATGCTGAACTTGTTTCTCCTAATATACATCTCCAGTTCCTTGTCTGTCATTTAGACTGTAAGCCCTAAAAGTGGTACATGTCCTACTCAAATAACAAGTCATTCTAGGATTCTTTTTGGCTAAGGAATAACATTTACATTGTTTAAATCAATAAGGGGTGTGTATGTGTGCCAAACAGCTCACAAATGGGTTGGTCTTTACCTTTCTTCTCGACAGCACCCTAGATCTTCCAGCTGTTTTTTTTTCTGTTCACGCAGCAATTTCACTCTGAGATGGAGAAAAGATTAAAAGGTTAGATGGGAAACAATGCCTCAGTCTGCATATTTTGTTTCCCTCCAATCACATTTGTTGAGTAATATATTGCAGAAGATAAACACCTAAGGCTCTAATATTTAAAGTAGATATTCAGAATATTCAAAAAACGACTATTAGCTCTTCTATTCCACGGACTAAAGCAGAAAAATGTAGAAACATTTAAGTATAGTTAATATGGAGAAAATGGGATTTCTTTTCATTTATTTTCATTTGTAAATAAATCACTAGGGGAGCAGAAAAATAGAATAAATGCTTTTCTCAGAATAACACAGATTATTTTTAAAATGTGTAGGTTTATCAGCTGTATTACACTTAAGTCAGCAGAAAACCAAGACTAGGGTAGGCAGTAAATAAAAGAGATGATTCAAAATTCAATTTTAGACTTTTATTGACGTTTTTTTGATAACATACAGGCAGAATTGTTCATTTTTAGAAATATTGTTATACACACATTGCAAATCATTTAAGTGCCCTTTTCTGAAACATTGCATGTAATAAAAATTTTAGTGGCACTTTGAATTCTTCTCTATTTTGTTTCGGGCAGCAGAACCTTAAGACCTAAAACAAGCCTCATTTTAGTCACTGTAAGAAAATGCTAAAACGACTTGCTACATTTAGAATTTAGGATTTAGAAATTTAGAAAGGAAGAGCCAAGGTTACCTTCGCTGGATTTCTTCTCGAGCCAAGTCCTGTTTTAGAATATATTCTTCCCGGAAGACTTGTGTGGCTCTGCTTAGAAGCTGAAGGCATTCCTCTGGGGGAGGGGAAGACTCTTTATCTGCAGCTCTTGAAAAAAACACAAGCAAAGTTGGGGCAAAGCTTGGAAAAGGATACATTTATATGATAAAAATATATCTCTGAGGGAGATGGGCGATTAAGAAGTATGAACTAGGTCAGGGGTAGGCAACCTTGGCTCTTTTATGACTCGTGAACTTCAACTCCCAGAATTCCTGAGCCAGCCATGCTGAGGGGAAGGGAGAGGTTTTCAAGCTGAGCCATGCTGGCTCAGGAATTCTGGGAGTTGAAGTCCACAAGTCATAAAAGAGCCAAGGTTGCCTACCCCTGAACTAGATAGATTAGATAGATAGATAGATAGATAGATAGATAGATAGATAGATAGATAGATAGATAGATAGATAGATAGATAGATAGATAGATAGATGTGGATGGATGGATGGATGGATGGAGACATTGAGCATCCCATCTAAAGTACTCAAAGAGGGCAAAGAATGTTGAAATCAACATTTGAAAAAGCTCCCTAATCAATTCCCCCACCCCTTAATCAACCAGAAGACACTATTCTATGAGCGATAATAATTCAGTGGGAACCAGCAAGATGGCTTGTATTCTCTGAATCTCTACCAGTCTTACATGAAAGAAGAATAACAGATTTAGGGCAATAGCAGAAAAATGCAAAAACAGCCAAATACAGAATGAGAGACTTTCAGCCAGAAAAAGAAAAGTCTAATCATGAGACCACTGAAAAGACTTGAGCTTTGGTGGTCCATCCCAAACAAGATGCAGTTTGCCAATTGCAGTAATGAGAACCAACAGCCAAAACAAAGAACAAGCAATAACACACAAGGCTTGGAAAGGGT